ATAGATAGATAGATAGATAGATAGATAGATAGATAGATAGATAGATAGATAGATAGATAAAATGTGATGCTTCCTCAAAATGGATCCTTGGGATACTGATCCAAAAAACATAAGTGTTCTAGAAGGAGGCCTTTGGTAGGTAGACATTTTAATATCTATACCTGATCATACCTGACCCAGACTACTATGACACAAATCTGTTAAAATACCTTTTAAAAACTCCACTTCTCTCATTACTGTGTGTTTGGTTCATTATCTCACCAAGAGCATGGATTCTCTCCCTTCCCGTGGGCAATGGCTGGCTAGCATCGGCGATGGCATTCCCTTGTGCCCCTTGCACTGGAGTGGGGCACCTGCTATCTAGACTCTGCAGCCCTGCCTTTCTGCCTACCGTAGGCTTCGTTGTAGTACACGCTGATCCTCTCCAGTTGCAGAGCCGAAGCCCCGCGGTCGCTCCCAGCACAGTCAATCCCATGTTCTTCTCCGATCACCTCCCAGAACTGTGGGCAGAAGGAGAGAAATCAGTTCAGAGACCTGGGGAAGGAAGAGCCATTGGGGTGACCCAGCAGCTCAGCCGGGAAAGGGGCTTGCCACCAAGCCTGATGACCTGAGTTCAATCCCTGGGACCCCACCTGCTGGAAAGTGAAAACTAACTCCCACAAATTGTCCTCTGACCACCACATGCACACACGGCATGTGCACTCTCTCTTGCATGCACACACACACAAACAAATAAATGAATAAATAAATAGATGTAATAAGGAAAATGTACTAGAAAGAGTGGGATGGCTCCTGTGAGGATGTTGCTGCCCTGGAGGCTGCCTGACCCTGCCCAACACTTCCTTCTTCTTCTTCCTCTTCTTGCCTCCGCTAAGTCTGACTATGAAGACTGTGCTTTAGACCCATCTGAGCTCCTGAAGCGAAATGTCAAACACAGAAAACATTAAATTGGATTTTGCTATTAACCCTGGTGCGTTACAGCGGGTCCTTTTAGAATCTCACTTCAGATGAGGGAGCTCAAATTTCACCTTGCTTTGGCCTGAGCTGGAGAAGTGCTGATCCCAGGAAAAAGAAAATAAGCTAAATTCTTATTTGATTTCACAATAGTATCTCCTTTCACTTTGGGGATTTTTTTTCCCCATGAACTTCACCTCAGAAGTCCATACCCAGGGCCCTCCTGCACAACCTGACATAATGTGAGTTTTGACCATCAGACATACTCACAATTCAGAATTATGCATAGCTGATGTCTTGGAACTATTTGGGATATTCTATGCTCCCAATCATGCATACAGCATTTGAGATTACTATGTAGACTAGACTGGCCTCAAATTCACAGAGATCTGCCTGCCTCTGTCTCCTAAGTGCGCCATCATACCCTGATGAGAAAATCATTTTATTCCTTTTATTTATTTATTCATTCATTCATGTCTGTATGCATGTTTGTTAATGTGTGCAAAAGCAATCAGTAGTAGTCAGTTTTCTCTATCATGTGGGCCCCGGGGATGTAACTCAGGCCATCAGGCTTGGTGGCAAGCACTTTTACCTGCTGGACCATCTTGCTGGCCCACAGCATTTATTAACACTGAGAAAGCTACTGGGATGATTTCATTAGACCATTCTGGAAAACTCTCACATTAAAGTGCAATAAAAATACCTTCCCTTGAGTCAAAATCTCCCAGGGTATTTTCCCTAGCCTACTTCGTAAGCGGCACCTCTGCTCCAGCCACACTCTTACTAAAGCAGCGCAGTGCTATAATGGGCTTTGAAGACTGGAAGAGTAAGTACAAAGAAGTTCTGAGACAGTGCAGACGAAATGTGTCTTGGCGTTGTGTATATGTGTTCATGATGGTGTGCACATGTGCCTGCTGGTGTACATACACTTGCATGTATGTGTGTGGAGACCAGAGGCCGAGGTCTGGTGGTTCGCTCACCCTTCACCTTACTCTTGAAGACGGGGCTGTTCACTGATCAGAGCTCATTGATTTTGGTCAGGCCTGCAAGCTCCAAGGAGCTGCCTGCCTCTGCCTCCCCAGAGCCTGGGAGATTACCCATGTGGTTCTCCACATGGGTGTTTGGGATCTAAACTCCGTCTTCTTGTTTGCACAGCAAAAACTTTACCAGTTAAGCTGGCTCTTCAGCCTAGAACGTTTCTTAACACACTTTCTAGGGGCCCCACAAGAAGTCATGGCCGGGACTCCAGCCACCAGACGGCACAATCCCAAGGCAGCTGGAGCTGATGATCCCCTGTCCTTCCCCGCACTTCCTCCCTGAGACCTCTCTCCATCTTATCTTCTAAGGTCAGAGCAGTCTCCCTGACCCCTCCCCACTGCACTTCTCTGGTGGTTATGAAGGTCTGATTCCTGTGGCACGTGAGGTGACTGATGTTTGACAGGTAGTGATAATGTCTTGCCCAGAGCTCAAAGACCTTCAGCTAAAGGCAGCCCAGCTTTAACTTTCCTGGGTGTTCCTTCACCCGAAGGCCTCCAAGTCAACACAGCACAGAGATAATTGTGCATCCTTGTAGACTGTGGCATTGTTCACAGCAGCTAAGAAATAAAATCCACCTGCCATTCCCTGAGTAAAGTGTTAGATAAAGGAAATGTAATTATACACAGTGGGATTTTTTTTTCAACCACAAAGAACAAAGTTTTGTCATTTTCTGGAAAATGGTCGAAACTGGAGACCATTGTATTAAGAAGACTAAGCTGGTCTCCAAAGACAAATTTTACATGTTTTCTCTCATGTGTGTGTCCTGGAGTTCATATAGTCATATAAAATCATGCATGTATACATAAAGTAAAAGTAGATGTAAAACTGGCCTGGGGAAGAAAAGGGGTAAATGGGGGGTGGGCTGGAGGAGGACACTAGGGATACAATGTAGATCTGAATGAAAATGCAAAGGTAGATAAAGAGAATTAGAAAAACTGAAGGGACCTTCTTCACTTTTTCACAGTTGTGTTCCTTACAGTAGAAGCCCATCCCTTGGTTAAACACTACGTGGTCCATACTCATGGTAGGGTATTGCTCAGTTCAAAATGAAGGGGACCCCAAGCCTGCTGTCACGTGGATCTACTCCAGGTGTCCCTCTAGAAGGGTAGACACGCACAAAGACCTGAAGTGGAATGGCAGCTGTCAGGGAAGGGAGAGAAGAATGAAGTCAAGTTTCAACAGGGCAGAGTTTCCATTTTATAAGTTGAAAGATATTTTGAAGGTGGGTTACACAGCATACTCAATACTACCTAATTTGCATACAGAAAATGACAAAGAAGGAAAAATTTCACAACATGCATCTTACCACACCAAAAGCTTTTGAATTTCTTTTTAAAGCTGCATAATGTTTCATTATAATAAAATAATAGGATAATGAATAAAATGCATCGGGTTTGTTTGTTTGTTTGTTTTGTTTTTCGAGACAGTTTCTCTGTGCAGCTTTGCGCCTTTCCTGGAACTCACTCTGTAGCCCAGGCTGACCTTGAACTCACAGAGATCCTTCTGCCTCTGCCTCCCGAGTGCTGGGATTAAAGGCATGTGCCACCACCGCCAGGCCAAATAAAATGCACTGCGTTCATCTATTATATAAATTCAGGGTTTCTCCACCTTTACAATGTGTTTTTTACATTTATTTAACATTTATTTATTTGTTTGTGTTGTGGGTAGGATGCACACTTGTGTCATAGAACACAAGTGAAGGTCAGAGTGTAGCTTGTAGGAATCGCTTTTCTCTTCTTACCACATGGGTCTTGAGGATTTGAACTCAGGTCGTCAGGCTTGGCAGCAAGCATCTTTACCCACAGAGCCATCTTGCTGGCCCCTGGTCCCACCTTTTGGCTATGGTTAGCAATACTGCTATGAAGGAACAAAGGTCTTTCATGATGGTGTTTTTAAACCCATAATTCATACACATGACAATAATTCCACAGTAACACAGGGTGCTCTCCTCACAGGTGCTGCAGATCCGTTGTTGATCTTAAAATTAGGAGTGCCAGTCCTGACCTCCAGAGCCTGCCTTTCAGGCGTCCCTGGGGAAGGAGTCAAGAGCCTCTATCAGAACTGCAACAGGAGGAACAGAGAGTTGAGAGGAAAACTCATCTACAGAGCAGAATGTTTTAATCACTTATCTCTGTGCTTGAGATAAGTAATTCTCTGTAATTTTCTATTGCATACTAAAAGTTCTTTGTAATATAAGCATGCTCCCTACCTACAACACTCAGAGAGCATTGAGGAAGAAGGGGCAGAAAGAATGTAAGAGCCAGAGGGTGGCGAAGGGTACTGTGAAATGACTTCCAGACGCTGAATGACCATTGCACTCAAATTCACAGAATCTGTGACTGTCTGTAGGACATCAAGCTAAGATTCGTTAGTAGCCCAACGGGCAGCACTGACTGGGCTCAGTGAGTTATAAGATGTGTGTGTGTGTGTGTGTGTGTGTGTGTGTGTGAGAGAGAGAGAGAGAGAGAGTAGGAGATGGATGTATTAGAGAGTGTCCAGGGGTAGTGGTAGGAGGGAGGTAAGGGTGGATCTGGTCAATATATACATGAATAAAACTGCCCAAGAATAATCCAGGCAGTGGTGGCGCCACCTTTAACCCCAGCACTCAGGAAGCAGAGGCAGGTGGATCTCTGAGTTCAAGGCCAGCCTGGTCTACAGAGCTAGTTCCAGGACAGCCAGGACTACACAGAGAAACTCAAAAAACCAAATTAATTAATTGATTGATTAAATTTTAAAATTGCCAAAGAATAAATTTGAAAAAGAACGTTTGGGAGGCCGAAGGCTCTAGAGTGCTCAGGTATTAACAAAAGAACCCAAAAAACAAAAAACCTTCAAGTAAGGCTGGCAAGATGGCTCAGCAACGTGACCCTTGCCACCAAGCTTAATGACCCGAGGTCAACCCCTTGATGGAGAGAACCGGCTCCATCAGGTTGTGCTCTGATCATCACTAGTGCACAGTAGCATGCACCCACCCTCCCAAATACACAATTTAAAAAAAAACACTTTTAAGCATCTTTTAGTGATTTATTTATACTTATTTTATGTTTATTAGTGTTTGGCTTGCGTGTATATCTATATGAAGGTGTCAGGACCCCTGGAACTGGAGTTACAGACAGTTATGAGCTGCCATGTGGGTGCTGGGAATTGAACCCAGGTCCTCTGAGAGAGTAGCCAGTGCTCTCAACTGCTGAGCCATCTCACACACACACACACCCCACATATACAGCATACATACACAAACACCACACACACATACCCCCCCACACACACACACCACAAATTATAATATACACAATTTAAATTAAGAAAAATTCCCAAAAAGCTTCAGAAAACTCTTGAAACAAATTACTGGTTTTAGATGTGGAAAGCTCATTTCTAAAATGCTAAAAGCAAAATGGCTCCCGTACCCATTTACACATATAATTACAGGCAAAATTAACATTAATTAACACTCTAACTCTAATGGTTTTGCTAAAAGACCTTGTTTAATAAGCCGTCTATTTAGCAAGTATTTGCAAACCTGCAGGGCCCTCCTCCTCCTGGGAACCTGGGCGTCTGTCTGATTTGGCAGCAACCTGTGGCAAACTGCTCTGGTCTCACCTACCTTGGATCCAATTTGGTTACCACACTGGCCAATCTGAATGTGCACGATTTCCCGCATCCTGGCCTTGAACCCAAGGGTTAGTTAGGTCTCAGAGTCTGGGAGAGTCTGGATTGTCAGTGTGAGCTGGGTGCAGCTTCTTTCACGGCCCTGGTGGGACCAGCCCACCCAGCTGCTCTCCCAATAGGCCTAAGGGTGTGTCTGGATGAAGGCCCCACCCCAGGCCTTCCCTGTTTTCCACAGTCATGGTAAGAGGGGTGCTTGTCTGTCCTGAACTCCGCCCAGTCATTTCCTAGATATGAGTCGGACTGAGGCCCCTCTCATAGACCTGGTCTCAACAGCCTTGGGCTATGGTGGTGTCACTGACATAAATCCATGGGTTATGGCTGAAGGGGCAACCGGGACCCACCCCAAAAGGACTTTCCCCACCCAAGTCACCATTTTGCCTATCCGTGACTTGTCCTATTTTCAGCCATGTTACCTACAGAACAATTTGGGAAACAGCCTCAGCACTGAGGTGGCCTTGGGGACATGCACATACCCCTTCTCCCCAGACACATACACATATATACATAGTTAAAAATAAAGTAAATCTTTTAAACAGAAAAATATCACCATTAAGAGAGAAAATTCAGAGCTGGGGCTTTGGTTCAGTTTGTTAGAGTGTTTGCCTAGTGTGCATAAAGCTCTGGGTTGGATCCCTAGCCCTGCATAAACCAGGGGTTATGGTGCATCTCTATAATCCTAGCACATGGAAGTGGAGGCAGGAGGATCAGAAGTTCAAGATCATTCTTGGCTACATAGTGAATTCAAGGCCAGCCTGTGATACCTGTTCTCAAAATCTCCTCTAGCCCCCTTTTTCAGAGACTGAGCCTCAGAAACCTGATGATGTGACAGGCCAGAGAGGCCATCTCATAGGATGCGGACCCAAGGGAGCCAAAGGCTGGATTTAAGGCTGGAAGTACATTAGGCCAGTGACATTGAAGGGGACAAACCCTGACACTCTATTTCCCAGGGCCCGTGCAGGGGCTGTCTCCAAGGAACTTTCTTTAGTCTCAGTGGAGCCCCCGATGCCCCGAGAGGAGACTAAGAAGGGAGAGACAGGAGAAGAGCCTCTTCCTCCACAGGATTTGAATCAGCCTGTGGAAAGGCCTGGCCTCTAAACCAAAAAGAAACTGTGTGAAAGACCTTGTCTCCAGAGGGCCAGGTCAAGTGCACATTCTTCATTCTGACCAAGGTACCCACTCTCGGACCCCAAGCCCAGTGGGATTCCACAGCTAGAGACGGAGCTGCTGTCATGGGAGAACTTGGGGTTGCCAACAAAACTCAAACGTGGACTGTGAATATTGGATGGAACATTCTGTGTCTTGACTCTGGCTGAGGTGACCGTCCGCTGGGTCGCAGGTACGAAGCTGACCACAGAAGTGACAATGTGTAGGGGACACTGAGCAGATCCGTCAAGATGCTACTGAAGAGAGGCCTCTCTGCAAAGTCAGTGCAGGCCCCACTCACGCAGCTTTGGAGGCTACTTCACTGTCGGAATGACCACATGCTTTCCAGATGTTCCGGCCCCAACCATCTGCCCCCCCAGATAAGGAGAATGTGCAGACTTGGGAGGTGAACACGTCTGTGTGTTTCTCAGCATCTTTCACGCATTGACAGCTACGGGGGATGGGAGATGGCTCAGCAGTTAAAGAGCTTGTGTACTCGAGAGGACCACAGGTCACATCCTCAGAACTCATGGAAAGTGTTAGGTGGGTGTGGAAACCCAACTGTAATTCCAGCTTTGAAAGGAAGAGCTAGGGATTCCAGAGCAAGCTGGAGAAGAAGACCAGCTCTGCTGGTAAGCTCTGGGTTAGACCGAGAGACCATGCCTCAAAGAATAAGATAGAACAACAATGGAGAAATATTCCTGATATTAAAATCAGGCCTCCACAAGCATGTACACACATGTGCACCCACACACAGGAACACAAGCATATACACACATGTACCCCCATCCATATACATGTAAAAGGGGGAAATGAAGAAAAATACATACAAGTTTGGCGTGTTGGCACACACACACACACACACACCTGTCATCCCATCAACCGGGGAAGCTGAACCAGGAGGATTACCACAAGTTAGAGGCCAAGCAGCCTAGGCCACATAGTGAGGTCCTGTCTCAAAGGAATGAGAACCAGGGAGATAGACGAGCGGGTGAAGGCACTATCCATCAAGATTGAAAATTGAACTCAATCCCCAAGGCCCCATGTGCTAGAAGGACAGAGCCAGCTCCCACGAATTGTCCTCTGATGTCCACATGCACTGTGGCATGTGTCCTCCAACACAAATCAATCTATACAATAGAATTAATTTAAAAAGTGCACTGGGAAGGTCAATTCAGAAGCCAGCACACCCTCTAACCTCCCTCTTACTTCACGGTCAACGGCCTCCTTGCCTTTGGGACCTGATGGCTCAGAGGAAACTGCCTTATCCTCGAAGCCCCTCACATCCTTAGGATCAGAGCGCAGAAGTGTGCAATGCTCACGGGCAGTTGTTTGCTAATTACTCAGATGCATGCCTTATCTCCTCATCAGCCAGGGGTTGCCGGTCTCATATCAGCTTTGAGACCCTGAAGTACCCGATGCACAGCAGGGCCTCAGCAGTGTTTGTCAAGTGATCACCAACAGCTGGGTGAGTTTGAACAACCCGGCTCAGAAAGGCAGGTTTCCATAAAGCCCATAATGTGTTCATTCAGGAGTGTGTCCTTGTAATGGTGTGTAGGGACACAGTGCTCAAGGACGCTTTCCTCCGCCCCCTGAGAGGTGGTCTAAGTTGAAAGCAGAAAGTGTTCCAAGAACCTTGGCTGACGGGCACAGCTGGGCGGGGAACAGCCAGCCACAGTGAGCTGTTGTGGGAAGCCATGTCCGTGGTGGCCCTGGCCTCTGCACAGGAGTCTTGAAAGGGGCCCGTGTGGCTGCATGCTGCTTGCTGTGTAGACCTCAGGACTGACTCCAACAACGCTTTTTGATTTCCCTGTCTTCATTCTTCACTGTATGACCAGGCCCCAGTGTGCTTGGGTCCCCCCAGAGCGGCCCTCTCTTGAGCACATTCCTCTTGGTCATCTCAGTTTGCTTAGGGAGGGGAAAGACTGCCTTCCAGATGGGCCCTTAAAAGGCTTTTCTGTTAATGGGGCAGTTGGCAAAAAGAGAGGCCTTGTTTGCTTTGATTCCTGTATCATCAGCAGTGTTTACTCAGTCTCGGCCCAGTGCTCAACTTTGGATGCTGGGCTGTAGGGAGGCTGGGGTGGGGGTAGATGCTGGGCAGGAGAGGGCTGGCAGGTCCCCAGGGCTGCCCCTGAGAGGGGCCCATCTCCTTCCTGGCTGAGAATTTCTTGATCTGCAAAGCTGGGATTAACAGTCTCAAAGTCACAAATCTCTTTGGAGAAGTTAGTGCAGTGAGATGAACCCCAACACCTCAGTGCAGTGAGATGGACCCTGACACCTCAGAGGTAAGTGCTCATGGATAATGGGGTGCAGCTTTCTGAATGGAGACCACCTGTGGATGCAGCCTCCTGGCCATCCCTGATGGTCAGGGTCCAAATCTCTGAGTCACACTGCCAGAGATAGGAACACACACACACACACACACACACACACACACACACACACACACACACACAACTTCTGAAGAGCGAGCGTCTTATCTCAGCATCTTGTTCATAAAGATACCTGTTTAGGGAAGAGAGCTTTTCATTGCCAATTTGCTACATGCCAGTCAAGGGGTGATTATATGGCCACACCTCAGACCAACAGAACTGCCCTGTTCAAGATGCAGGCGAGCAGTGTCCCCAGAGAGGACAGCGTCATCCTCAGGTCTGATCTCTTGCCAGGCTGAACGTGACCCCATAGCCCTGATCTGTGGCAAGAGATGAAGGGTGGCCCTCTGTGATGAATGGCAAATCGTTCTCTGGCCCCTGGGAAGGGATATGGCAAGGGCAGGTTAGCGATGACTGAGTTCAAGTGCACAGCTTCACCTGGTGCTGCTCCGGGGGCACAGAGGGCAGAAGCAGGGGCTCTTTTTAACATGCAAGGGAGAGGCCAAGCGGAGACACAGAGATTCTTAAACAGGGGCGGTCACCCCTTCCCAGGCAGCACCTTCCCCTACAGGCTGTCACAATCAGCAGGCCACAAGAAAATGGTTGTAGCAAGCCTTTTCCTGGATGACTCTGGGGTCTATTATGGGAATGAAACCAAGAAGATAAGAAAACACCAGTGTCATACAGAAGCCCCCAATCAGCCACTTTCAGACTTCCCTCCCAGGAGCTGTCCCGGGGGGTCACATGGAATGCCCTGACTCCCACTTGGCAAAGGAAACTTAATGCGGAGCAAACAGTGCTCAGAGCGCTCATTGATTATTCACCCCTGGTTCTTCACTTCGGATGCATTGAAGTTCCTTGAAGAACTCAAGAGAAGATTGTTGAATTATAGTGTTCGATTGTGATTCAGGAGCAGAAAATTTTTCCTAATGTCTTAGCAGGAAAATGGCATGCGAGAGGTCGTTATGAGTGACTCAGTGGGTGTGGGCAGCCCCTCTGATGAGCTGAGTTCCACTCTGCTGCACCTTGCTTCCATGTGTGTCTCTAACTCGAAAAGAAAGTTCGAGGAGGACTAAGTCACTTCAAGCAGAGAGGGGCTGGAAGATGTGGATGGCTTCCCAGCTCTACAAAGGAGCCTTCCATCTTTTTCCCCTGAGACTGAAATGTATGTGGTGCTCCTCCTCATCTGGCTTGCAGCCCCAGCCCATGAAGAAACCTGGTCACCTCTTCAGTACATTGACACCAGCTTCATGAGCCAAGGTTTCTCTCATTAACAGTCAGACATGTGAGGGGACACACACACACACACACACACACACACACACACACACACACACACACTACTTTCCCTGCCCTGCTGTGATTCTGAAGGCAATGGATTCCGAGCCTTCTCAATTGCATTTTCCATCTCTCAAGGTGTGCAGCCACTGATAAGCAATGATCTGTGGTGGGAACAGAGATAAGCTCATAGCCGTTAGCACCTGGGAGCCAAAACCAAACAAAAATATAGAGTTCTTCAAGCTCTGGGGT